ATAGATGGCATGTAGTGACCCGGTCATGAGATCGAACTTCAGTGGAGGTGATATTAACTCTTTGTGCTTCAACAGGTTGAGAAAGTATAGATAAACAGATACTACAATGTAATAGAGACAGTAGCATTCAAAAAAAAAAAAAAAAACATTATAGCATCAATCAGCACTAGCGTTGTACACAACCGTCAACCGTGTATGCTGTTTAAATTGAATTGAGTACTGATTAATGATTATGCTCATAGTACTCAATGTAACCAAACATTACGGGTGTCAATCTGCATCTTAAATTTTGACTAATGCTTTTAAAAACTGTATATATATCTGAACTCATTATGAGTTATGAGTAGACAATGTCTGGCAGAAAAATATGTTTGGTAGTTAGCTCTGTACAAGAGGGTAGTTGGTGGGTGGTAGATAATTCTTCTTTAAGGAAATGATTGGTTACAGCTAGCATCATACAATCCAATCTTCAAAGCTACATATTAATTCTCATAGAGAACCTTCATTTATACTCCACATGCATACACTTTCTTTGACACCTGCTCTTATATATGTATAACAACACAATCAAAGAATTGACCATGGAATGTAAATCAGCTGTTACTGGAAAACTATCTGCTAGAAGAGATTCTTGCATTGCATTGCATTTCAACTGAGATTTAGAAAGATGGAATAAAATGGAAAGAATTGTGCAACATCATCATAATATAACTCCTTGCATTGTCAAATCATACATCCAACATGACAACAACAAATACAAATAAAAGCTAGAACATATAAGGTCGCAAATTTTGTTTATGACAAAGTAGGAGAGAATACTTGTATGCCACGAGCATTCTTGGATCTTGGAAAATTAGAAGCACTTCCTGTGCACAATTGACGGGCCGGACTCATCATACTCTGCCTTGGCAATCCACATCTGCAAAAGGAATGAATGAGTTGAAAATGAGATAAGAGATTGCAGTATGTCCTATGTAGAAAGTCTACTAATTAGTGTCACTTGAATACAATTGCAGGGTGTTGAGTCAAAAAACCTGTTGGAATGTGCTGAGGGAAGCCAATATGGAGCCTCCAATCCAGACACTGTATTTCCTTTCAGGTGGTGCTACAACCTTAATCTTCATGCTGCTTGGAGCCAACGCTGTTATTTCCTTGCTCATTCTATCCGCAATACCGGGGAACATGGTAGTCCCGCCACTAAGTACTATGTTTCCATACAAGTCTTTTCGGATATCTACATCACACTTCATGATAGAGTTGTATGTTGTCTCGTGGATTCCTGCTGCTTCCATTCCGACCAATGAAGGCTGGAAGAGAACCTCTGGGCATCGGAAACGCTCAGCGCCAATGGTGATTACTTGCCCATCAGGAAGTTCATAACTCTTCTCTACAGCAGAGCTAGTCTTTGAGGTCTCTAGCTCCTGCTCATAGTCAAGAGCTATGTAAGCAAGTTTTTCTTTCATGTCCCTCACAATTTCCCGTTCAGCTGAGGTTGTGAAAGAGTAACCACGCTCTGTGAGGATCTTCATCAAATGATCAGTGAGGTCACGACCAGCCAAATCAAGACGAAGGATAGCATGTGGGAGGGCATACCCTTCATAGATGGGGACAGTGTGACTGACACCATCACCGGAGTCCAAAACAATACCTGTAAAGAAAATATAGTAGCACTAAGAGTTATAGGTATGATCACATATTTATCACTCAATATCTGAGTTCGATTAAATCTTCGACAAAGAACTTGAAACAATCTGATACACATAGGCAAAATTCTTACCAGTTGTACGACCACTAGCATACAAGGAAAGAACGGCTTGAATAGCTACATACATAGCTGGGGTGTTGAAAGTTTCAAACATGATCTGGGTCATCTTTTCACGATTAGCCTTTGGATTAAGGGGCGCTTCGGTCAGGAGGACAGGGTGCTCCTCAGGGGCAACACGAAGCTCATTATAGAATGTGTGATGCCATATCTTCTCCATATCATCCCAATTGCTAACAATACCGTGTTCAATAGGGTATTTCAGGGTTAAGATACCTCGCTTTGATTGAGCTTCATCTCCGACATATGCATCTTTTTGACCCATACCAACCATCACACCAGTGTGACGAGGACGGCCAACAATGCTAGGGAATACAGCTCGCGGAGCATCATCCCCAGCAAATCCAGCCTAAAAAGCAATAAACATAACCCCACACACACAAAAAAAAAAAGAATTTTTTAGCAACATAGAAAAAATATAGCTTCACCAACATTATAAATAACATAACAACTCCATAACCTTGCAAAATAAGACCACCCCTGATACATTACCTTGACCATTCCAGTTCCATTGTCACAAACAAGTGGTTGAATATCCTCTTCTGCCATCTTCTGCTACCTTCTGCACATACAACACAACTTTATTCAACTAAGTACACAGTTTAAAGACTGTCACTTAATTCCAACATCTTCCTAGTCCATAAAAACAAAATCTTCAATCAACCAAAACAGCTGGTGCATGCGTGATACGAGAACTCGTTGGCAATCCCAAAAACAAGCAATAGCACAACAACATTTAAGACATCATTGTGCAAAATGATACTATACTTCCCAGTTCCCAATTCATTTCTTTAAAAACAGTTAGATCACAATCAAGAGAAACAAGAACAATCGACTCAAACACACCTGTCCCAAATCACACACTGTTTTACGAGATTCTCACAAAAATCAATCTCTCCGTAGTCTTACATTAGACTGATTAGCAAAATACCTTCTACAAACCATTTGGCAGTAATTCACCACCTAATCACCATCATAATCACACAAAACTAAGTGAGATCACTCACTCGCATGCGATGTACTGCCAACGAAGTTCTCTTTTTTAGTTCGATCATACAATCACTTCACAACAGAGATTTAACAAGCAAATTTCACAAAAGTAATCCATCCATTTATAGTCCTATGCTAACATCGATGGTGCAAAATTGAGTAGAATTAAGGATTCGATTTACCTCAATCGCCGGAAGTTATTCCCTTTCTCTTTCTTCTGCCGGAGTGCGAGAGAGATCGGGACGGAAATGGAGCTCTCTCTCTCTCTCTCTCTCTCTCTCTGCTTTCTTCTTTTTCTTTTCTGCTGTAATGAGAGAAAGTGGAGGGGGTTTTATTGAAAAGAAGAAGAAATCGGAGCCGTTGGATCCGGGGATTACACTCGTATTCCGCTGTATGTCCTTTTTCCATCATATTCTTTTCTCTGTTTTTTCTTTTTTGTTCCCTCCTATTTTGACCCTTCAAATAAAAAAAAAAAAAAAATCTTTTTTAGAATAAAATCATCTAATAATTCTTTTATTTTAAAAAAAAAAATCCTCCATCTAACGTCTTATATTTTTTTCTATTTCTCAATTTTCAAATTTTTAAAAATACATAAAACACATTTTTTGTTTTTATTTTTTTCCATTTCTTTTGAAAAATATTGAATTTTTCTCAATAATAAACGCATAAAAACTCAACAATTGTAATTACAAACTGTCGTTCTGCAATTTTACTTTTTTTTTTTTTTTTGGTTTTATGTTTTTCTTTATTTTTATCAAAAGAAATAAATGTAGTAAGAGATGGTATTTGTATTGAATAATTGAATGTATTATCTATGAAGTATTTGTTTATTTATTTATTTTCAATAGTTAAAAAAAATTGTTTGAAAGTAAATAATGTTTGGTTTTGTATTGAACTGTTAAGTAATTTATCCCCTAGTACTTTGGCATAGAAGGGTAGGAATCGATTCACATGCCCATTTTTGGTTTCTTGGATTCAAATAATTGCAAACTTCCATTTTGGTGGGATCATGGTCTTAGAAGAATTGAGACTGCAGGGGATGTAACTTTTTGATAAATCGAGATTTGTATTAGAGAAAATAAAAAATCAGTACATTTTAAAGTCATTTTTATTAGACTTTGTCTTAAATAATCTCGCCACAAGTTAAACGATGTAATTTGAACAAGATTTTGGTATAAAAGGTTTTTTTTCAATTATGAGAGTAGGATTTATAAGATTCATATCCACGTGTAATGTCTAAAAGGTTATTGGCTTCTATAATGAAAAAGAAACACTATTTGAAAATGTGTATTAGGTAAATTATCTGAGAATGTGCGACCAGATCTTTCGAAACACTTTCGTGATGAGTTTGTGTGCACATTTTAATTTTAAAATGATTGGATCTTGAAAACTCTTATATTAAGTATGAAACAGATACTGCTTTTCCACCGCCCAGCAGATGTGCTTCCAACTAAATGCCCTACTTTTTCTTCATCCAACAGTTGTCAACATTTTTTTTTGCTGGAAAATGTACTTTAGAATTGCGTAATGAAACCCATATCTGTCACCTTAAAAGTTACGGAGTATTACAATTAGGATTCATCAAAAACTTATGAATGGCAGAATAGGTAATAAATTAGTTGTGAGTTGAGATTTATGCTGATTTGATTGATGTTGCTTGGTCTAAATTTACCTAGTTTTTTTTTTTTTTTTTGGTGACTCACGAGATTAAGAATGTAAACTCGTGTTCCATCTCAACTAAAAATTTAAGTGTGTCATGAAATTGACTCTGATACTAAATTAAAGCATGTGTTTCATCTCAACTAAAAATTTAAGCTGATAGTTGAATTACACAATTATATTTATATATTATATGCTCAACAATGAAAAAACATTTTGCATTTCTTAAAATCCTACCTAGCACGAACAGAATTAATTTTTTTTTAAAAGGACGAACATAATTAGTTAAGCACAAAATATGCATCTTTTTCCACTTTCATACCATCAACTATAATGACATTTCCGTTTATAGTCATCAACTTCAATGTATTTCTTGATTTTAACCTTCGACTTTTAAAAAAATTCAGCTAAAATGCTTCATTTCATGAAATTTCCAACCAACTCTAGGTAAAGACATTTTAAGCTAAAAGTAAAAGATATCAAAATTAAAAATTGAAAGTTGAAAGTAAAATATATGACAATAATCGACGGATCAAAATGGAATAAATTCTTATATAAATGTAAGATTTAGTACAAATATAAACTGCAGCTGAAGTTTGATTTAGGCCAAGGTTCTATACCCCACACTTGCCGACCCCGACCGACCATATTGCATAACATATATCCTGTCGATTCTTCCTATATTTTAAATTAGAAAAATGACAAACAGATGAGGCAGAAATAGGAGCATTCTTATACATATCAAACATGTAGAGAGTTGGACGTTTCTCCCTGGCCAGCTTTGCAATGCTATCTCTGAATTTTGAGACCCTCAGGATGATCTGATTGAAGGCGGCAAAAAGAAGAGAATACGTATAGTAGTGAACCATAACTATCAGAAATGTCGAGCATTACAGTTGGGTACGAAACAGGAAAAAGCAACAACGGGAAAAAACTGATTGGCAATTGTAATTTGCTAATAAGAATTGACTTCTTAATCCTTTACTGAAATGGTAGATGCTGGATCTACAGGAATGGAGGCAAGATCACCCATCGGCGAGGATATTTAGGCCTTCCTTCTTTTCCATCAAATAGCTGCAGGAAATGAGGCAAAATTAACCACCAAGATTGAGTAAAAAGTATATGAAAAGTAGTCACAACATTATTCCAAATGAATTCAATTATTGAAATGTAAATAGGTTTTTGCTGATAAGTTCAAAAAAGACTTGTATTGGGCTATTGGCCTTGCCACAAGTTGAGTGATTAATTCATTTTGAAAGTTTGAGCAGGATTTGGTGAACCTAGAAGCTAAATATGTATGCAGACTGAAATTAGAAACAAAAGCCTTAAGTGTAAAACTTGTTTATTGACTTTACACACACACAAAAAGGAAGGTGGAAGAGTGTGGATGTCATTTGCAAAATTGCTTAGTATTGAAGGCAAAAATGTGTTTAAATAACAAGGACTTTGTCGTTAGGCATATGACTACAGAGAGAAAGAATGCGGTGTAACAGAAGATATTTGTGTCAAAACAGTGGCATTCCCAACATGTGAAGCCTGACAAGGACTTTGTCGTTAGGCATATGACTACAGAGAGAAAAAATGTGGTGTAACAGAAGATATTTGTGTCAAAACAGTGGCATTCCCAACATGTGAAGCCTGTTAGAAACTTCAGCAACAAGCCTTTCTTTTGTTCAATGGGGTTCATGTTAAAGTAAAATACATAACATATAGGAGGGCAGTGTGGCTTTCAGCTTTCTTTTGTTGGTCTCTCAGATTTCATGGTGATTTTTTTCTTTAATTAGTTCTCTGCAATAATGCATGAATTACTGAATGTTATTTATTTATTCTTTAGGGCGGGGGAAGGGAGGTTAGCAAATTTACCTTCTTCAGACGACGATGCTTTGCAAGTGCCCAGTTAGTCATGATGCCAGCAGCAACAACCATGAAGATATAGCCTGCAACAGTCTGTGTTGCAATATTGTATCCTAACCACTGATAAATCTCTGTTGTGTAATTTGCACAAGTAACAATGTTGAACAAGAATCCACGTGGGATTTGGTACCCTCCACTACCATCAGGACTTCGAAGTTTTCTCAACAGTAGGTGACAATAAAAGTTTGAAACTTGACATATCAACCCAAAGCCAAAGCCAATCTTCATTTGGAGATCACTTACAGGAGTGTAAAGTGGGTGATTCACAAAGTAAGCAATGAAAGCGCCAAAGGACCAGTAATAGGCACAGTTGCGGAAAACATTGGAAAGCGGAGAAGTGGCATGGCTAAATCGGTGCACAAAGAATGTTTCTAAGATTCGTTTAAAGTAATGAAAGCACCAGTAATACATAGCATATGTCTGAGCTGGGTGGATAACACGCTTCCCTTCATAGCCAAAGAACTTGTAGACCGGCAAGTAATAGAAGAGAGGATAGATAATCAGAGGACCCAGATACTCAAAGAAGAAAAGTGTGCGATAGCTGACTTGTGGACCAAGATCCTTAAAAATTACAGTTAACTCATTTTTGTTCCCATCAGTATACTCTTTAAGACTCTTTTTGTAGTGAAGAACAGTTGGCCTCTGTGTTGAGCCAGGCGGAAGAGGGAGAGTAAGTCGCTGTCTGGAAGGATAGTATTTCTTAGCTGTGAATGTCAGAAGTTTAGCAGTAAATCAGTGATTCAGTAATGGTATATGCACTGAAATGCAACAACTGCTAAGGCTAAAGCCAGAATATAAATCAATCATATAGCTATACAAACAATTTAACACTAGCTTCAGCTATCAAATAAACTTCACATTTATAGTTCAGAATTCTCAGATAAACAAATAATACACACTTCAGCTTACTTAAATGATTTATTGTGATGTTAACACTATCTATCAATTAAAGCAACTTCCTTAAATGAATATTCATTAGCACCAGCCATTACTCCATTAGGTTTAAGCAACCCCTGCAACTCTCACTTCCCCTCTTCTCTTAGCTCCTATGCTATGGAGCCATGGAGGGTTTTAAATTCTACTGTTCAATGACCAATTATCCTACCTTCCAAATGAAGCTGTGTTTTACAACAGGAACTAGTTCCTTCTACCTCAAAATATAATCTCTCAAAAATTTTATGATCAAATTCTTGTAGATCCAATGTGTATGAAATGAGGGTGACAGAAGCCACTGCTCCAGTATTTCATAGTTCACCATACTTGTTCCACTCAAAATAATTATAGTAAGCAAACAGAACACTAACAACACACAGTTTATATAATCAAATTCAACTCAAAATTGAAGTTGAGTGCCTATATAAAACACTTCCTTTTCCAATTAAAAAACGAAAAAAAAAAAGGATCTGAAACAGTCTTAACTGTAATTAGCAGGAAAATCAGTAGCTCATACTATATTACACGGCAAATGAAAAGAGAAACACGAAGAAGAACCACTCACTCTGTTTATGAATTTGTTCCTGTAGATCGGCAACTGTAGCCTGCAAAATCCACAAACAAATGAAGATGCATGAGAAATCCGAAGCTGAATTTACAGAAACGGAAAGTGAAAACAGAAGGAATAGAAGGCATACGGTATCGGCGAGGTCAAGGCCGCCCTTGATGAGTTCTCTGCCGCTCCGGCTGTTCACGACGACCTTCATTTCTACTGAATCTGCGAAGGAGAAGCTGGGAGAGGAGTGTTTTTTGTATGCGAGGAAACGGAAGCTTCAATGGCGTGGTTGAACAATAAATGGCGAGTAGTTGGGCCGATGAACTACCTTGCTTTCCTCCATTGAATAAACCTATCTGCTATCCATACATGTCCAATTGCGTGCGCAATTAAGTCCGGAAAGGCTTTGCGGGCCCGTTAATAATCGCACGGTTGTTCTATAATGTAGCGTTATGCTGTCCAAGGCACACGGTTGTAAAAACAACGTCGTTTTGACGTCCGACTTTAAAAAGAAAATTCAGTTTCGATTGTCATTAACAGTGTTATATTGTGCATAATTTGAACTATATAGTTCATTCATTCTGGATATATAGTTTAAATTATGCACAACATAACGCCGTAAATGGCAATCGAAACTGATTTTATTTTTTAAAATCGGACGCGTCGTTTTTAATCAAAATGACACTATTTTTGCAACAGTGTGCCCCTGCATGGTGCACACGGTTGCACGGCATAATTTGCGTTCTACAATAGCTATTGTTTGGACCGTGGTCTCTATAGTTGTGCGAACTATGATCTAAAATATAAAATCGACATTATTTTGCATATTTTTCTTTCACACGATCCACTATAACATATATTTTTATAACTTACAAAGATTCTAATCCCAAGATTGGCAGTGACTCCTTATACCCAAGACTACCATTTAAATTTCAGAGAAAGCAATTTCCAGTAATGTTGTCATACGCTATGACAATTAACAAAAATCATGGTCAAAATTTATCTCATGTTGAATTGCTACTAAAGAAACCTGTATTTAACCATGCCAATTGTACGTAGCAGTCTCTAGGGTTAGTAACCCTGATGTGATTAAAGTTTTAATATGTAGAGCTTCTACTGTTATTATCAACACTACAGAAAATGTAGTGTACAAAGTGTAATATATTTAAATTTTAAATTGCAGTTTATATTTTTACTAATATTATATTATTAATACTAATTTTATACCTTGCAAGAAAAACATATCTTTAATTACTAAAGTACAAAATTTAGTCTTATTAACATACAAAAGTTTAACAAATGATTAATAGTGAAATAAGATCAATTACTTAAAATTCGTACAGATCCACTAAGCTTTATTAAAAAATGAACTTAACTAAAAGATTTACAACTTCAGCTCCGTGCATTGTACGGATGACTTACTAGTATACAATATGGCAATAGGATTTCATATTAACGAATCACCATGTGAGTATATGTTCAATCGTTATGCTATGGATCCGTGTCCAGCATGTATTCTGGATACGATAACGGTTAGTGGCACCGTTATTTTTCACATTTTTTTTTCATAACTGTACATAATTGCATAACTGTACATTCATAATTTTTGTAACTGTACATTTATAATTCAATAACTGTAAATTCATAATTTTCGAAGCTCTATGTTCACAATTTTAGAGCTCTATGTTCATAATTTTATCACTATATGTTCATAATTGTAAGTTCATAATGTTAGAGCTCTGTGTTCATAATTCCATAACTGTACATTCATAATTTCACAAACGAATAACGCTGTTAACGGCGAGACAAAATCAATTTTTTTTTAAAACTAAAATACCGCGTTTTCTCTGAAAACGACGTCGTTTTGGACTCGTGTCCACAATGCATCGGGGACACGAGTCCACAGCATAATTTGCGGCATATGTTTCAACCAATTATAAATTGACTCGTTATTTGTTGATGCGTCAATTTATTATTTGTTGAAACACAGACTAACACGGTATCTAGATGTCAAATTAACATATCCACTTCTATCATTTACTTATGACATTGATGGTGTATTAAAATTTAAGTGGAGTTATGCAACACCCTAAATGCCACGTGCTATCCGAAGTTAAGCACCCTCTTAGTCGTTATTATATTATAAAGAAAAGTAACTTTAGATAAATCGATGAATTGATAATTAGTTTGGTAATCATAAGATTCAAATTCAACTTATTGTAAGTAACCTATGTTGATTTATGTCATTATCATCATTCAATCATTATTGTGTGAACTATATTTTGTATACTGTAAAATAATATATTTTTGGTATATTAAAAACGTAGATTGTATTTAGGAGATGTACATTATTTGTATACTGAGTGTACATTACATTATATAATGTACATTCAGTACACAAATAATGTACATTTAGTATATTAAAAATGTACATTTTGTTATGGTCCACACAATAATTTACCATTATCATTTACCGGCTAAGGTCATAACGAGCTTCAGACATAGCGCACTTCAAATAGTGATTGCAAACTTGCCGTAATCAAAGAAAGATTAGAGTGCAACTTCGACAACATATAACATAATGACATCAATTCAAGTATTATAAAATTTTTATAAAATCAATATCGATTTAATTCGTAGAAAGAAATTTGTCCAAAATTTCAATCTCCTCCAATAGTAAATTGGGCTTTGGAATCTATTGGTGTTTTAAAATTCTCTTTATATATACCTTGAGTTTGAGCTTTAAAGTCTCTATTAAAATAATCATTTTAAAATTAAATAGAGTTGAGCTTAAATCTGATAATCACATGTGTACCTGTCCCATGTGTATAAAAGTAGTTAATAGGCTGGTGGTGTGACTGATAATCTCAACTAACACCTGCCTAACATATATAAATTTATTCCGAACCCGGGGATTATAGGCTAGTTAAGAAATATTTTATGATTTACCATAATAAATTTGGTTATGTTAGAGAAGTGGCTAAATATGTGAGGTATCCATGATTCTTATATTCGGTAAGTTACGAGTTTGATTATTATCAATACTATACACACATACATATAAATTAAAATATTAAATTTTGTGAATCAATCTAATTTAATAGTTACTTGAATTTAATTTTTCTCATAACTAAAAATAAAATAATAATGAATAAACCAATAATTTTAGTGGTATATTTTTTAAAAAATATTATCTACTAAATCAGTAAATTAAGCATGTTAGTGGTGCATTTCTTGTTTAAGCGGACTACCTATATGCCTCTCAGCATTTGCAAAAACAAAAGGGAGATGTGGGTCTTGCATATATGGAAGCAATCTACTAGACTTATTGTATTGTCACTATTAGTCTGACAGATATTCATTGCTAGAGTTAAAACAGAAGTGGCAGATGATTCCAACTCGGAAAATAATGGATAAGAACCCAATAAGTCGGTCCAACCTTTTTTTTTTATTATTTTTTTTTTATTTTTTTTTATTTTTTTTTAATATAAATGTGATGTAGTTTTCAAATTCGCACTTTTTGTTTTTAATCTTTTAAATATTAAAATCATATTATTAATATTATGATTACAAGTTTTTGTTTAGTTCAAGAGCTTAATTGTATTATTGTTACTAACTTGATAACTTATTTAACTTTTCCCTCATACATAAAGTGTGAGGACGGAATAACCCCCGTATGGGAGGACATCAGTCATATTCTCATTTGGTTCTACATAAGAGAAAATTTCAATTTTGGTCACTATAGGGGTCTTGTTAATTTCAGTCCTTGACTTTTAAAAGTGTCAATTTAGTACCTTAACTATGCAATTTTTGTCAATTTTGGTCACTCCGGCCAAATTGCTAGCCAAATTTCGCCGGAAAATTTTAATTGTTAAAATAATGAGGGTATTTTGACCATTTCACGTCTCTTTTCTTCTTCCCAGGTGAGTCTATCCCATTCTCTCCCGTTTCCGGTGAATGCAATGAACTAAGATGATGGGGAAATGAGGCTTGATGATATTAAATATAGAGTTTAGAGGAAGAACGAACGCCAGAAATGGGAGAGAAAGAAATGGACTCGCCGGAGAATAAGAAAAGAGGCGTGAAACGACCAAAATATCCTCATTATTTTAACTATTAAAATTTTCCGGCGAAATTTGGCCGGCAGTGACTAAAATTGACAAAAATTGCATAGTTAAGTTACTAAATTGATACTTTTAAAAGTCAGGAATTGAAATTAACAAAACCCCTATAGTCATATGATCAAAATTGAAATTTCCTCTTCTACATAATATATGCTTCAAAGTATTTGACATTATATTCATATTGATATAATTAAATACTTCAAATAATATGAAAACTTATCCAACATGTATACAATCACCATCATATCTAGATTCATAATCGTATAACACATTTTTTTTTAATAGAAAAGAGTCAAATACACTTTCAAACTTTATCTAAGAAGTGAACTCTAAAAATTACAAGTAGACACATTAACATATTAATTTAGTGCATCAAAGTCCAAAATCCTAATAATGATATGCAATAGCAAATAAATAGTGTATTGTCGGAGCTCTGGCAACATTCCGAAAAGCATGACCTTTAATTGTCCGGTGACCAAACCAGTTGCCTTCTCTGTTGTTGGAGATGGCGCGATCTCCGGTTGACGAATATGGCCGGCAACTGGTCAACATCTCTAGTCAACTGGAGATGGCAACCAAACGACGGAGAAGGCAACCGGTTTGTTCGCCGTCTCCGTTGTTTGGTGAGCGAAAAAGCTCGTTTTTGTCGGGATGTTGTCGGAGCTTCGCCGATACATTAGGATTTTGGGCTTTGATATGCACTCAATTAATATGGTAATGTGTCTAATTACAACTTTCGAAAGTTCAATAGCCTAATTGACTTCTTAGATAAAGTTTGAGTGTGTATTTGACACTTTTTTTTTTTGAAACATCTTATAAAACATTTAAATTAACTATAGTAATTTAAATATGCAATGCAATATATCCAATTTGTTTGCTTCATCCTCCAGAGATTATTACAACATTAATTGGATCAACATGATTTGAATTCAAGCTTTAATAACTAATAATACATTCAAATTTAATTATTTTAATTAAGACATCGGATAATTGAACAATTTATTGGGTAATTTTAATTAACCCAAGCAATCAAATCAAAACATTAGTCACCAGGACTATGTGGTCTAATGGTATCCGGGTTGGACTTCCATTTGGAAGATTGTGATTTCGAGCCTCAGTGGAGGCATTATTGGCTCTTTGTATTTCAGTAGGTTGAGAAAGTATATGAACAGATACTACATTGTAATAGAGCTAGTAGCATTCAAAAAAAAAAAAATCAAAACATTAGTCTAATTAAAACAATTAATTCATTAATCGTCCTTCAAATGAAACTCAATAATTAATAGATCAATCCATTCCAGCCCCATCAAATTTTCAATGTCTACAATTACAACAAAATTAGAGTAATTAAATTTGATTAATTTATAATGAAATTTATTGTAGTTTATAAAAAAAGACAATAAATATAAAATTACGGTATTACGTATAATAATTCATATAAGAATTTGATTTTAAATTTATTATCCCCTAAAAGGTTGAATCATCAACCCTAACGGCTCCACACACCCAGCCCGACAGAGTATGTGGGAGAAGATCAGATAAATTACGGTAACTCAATGACTCAGTAGATTATACCAATTAAATGATGGTGTGCACAATGAATATAATCTGCTTACTTTGAGCATAATTCTCACACTATCGCTGTCGAATTTTGAACTTTGGTCTCTTCTCCCAAATACTACATTCTAAATCACTAATTAATTAAGTTAAGCTCAAATATTACTTAATAAATCTTTAAGTTAAGCCCGTCCATGCTTGATTTCAAATTTCGATCTATTGCTTCGATTGGAAGAATTGAATGAGATCTTTGTTAAGTTTCTTTTCCATTACTGGGTTTTGGACGGTGCAAGTTGCAAAATTTGATTTTATATGTGTGCTTAACGTCGAACCACGACATCTAAACCATGAAAAAAGTTTTAAAGTTATGTTAGTAGAATACAAAGTTGATTTTATAAAACAAAAATAAACAAGGTAATTATTAGTTTTTTTTTTTTTTTTTTGTTGTTGTTGTTAAATTGAAACAACGGGTTATATAATACCTGTGTATACACTTTTAAAAATGACACAACATTACGACATTAAAATTATAGGTTTATACACTTATATACAGGATTGTACCCGGGTTGGACTTCCATTTGAAAAGTTATGAGTTCGAGCCTCAGTGGAGGTGTTATTGGTTCTTTGTGTTTAGGTAGGTTGAGAAAGTATATGAACAGATACTACAATGTAATAGAGCCAGCAACATTCAAAAAAAAGAAAAAATATACAGGGTTGTAAAAATCTGTCTAGGCGCCCGCCTAGACCCCTCCTAGGCGCTAGGCGCCTCTAGACCGTGGCGATTTCCCCCCAGGCGCCCGCCTAGATGTCCGCCTAGCGCCTAACTCGGCCGATTTGGCCGCCTAGCGTCTAAGTTAGTCGAGTTAACCCGTCCATTTCGGTCGAGTTAACCCGATCGGCTCAGCCTATTTTTTTTAATTATATGTGTGTGTGTGTGCGCGCGCGCATACATACATACATACATACATACATACATACATACATACATACATATATATATATATATATATATATATATATATATATATATATATAATATGACATATATACACTCGTAGACTAGTTTGATACTTTGAATCTTTGGATGATTGAAGTATTTGAGTATTTTTAATTTTTATTATTGGTTTAATGTTTTTTAATGAAAATCATTGTTTTGATGTTATGACTTGAATTATCATTAATTCATTT